TTCTGCGCTTCTCCCAAACTCCTCTTGAGTTGTGAGACATGGATAACTGGGTGGATGTGTGAGTTTTCTGGTAACTCGAGGCGATAAGCTACCTGACCAATGCGCTTTAGGATCTGATAAGGCCCATAATAGCGGACGCCCAGCTTAGTTGCGGCCCTCTGTGCTGTTGTGCGCTGTCTGAATGGTCGTAGCTTAAGATAGACGTATTCTCCAGGTATAAAATTTCCCTCTCGCCTTTTCCCATCTGCGAAGGCTTTGGTTCGATTGATTGAGCCTTCGAGATTTCTTTTCAGCTCACGTAACATCAAATCTCGTTCCTCTAGTTCTCGACCAACCTCATCGTTGACGGTACTTCCCTCTGAATAATTGGTCAATGTTGGGGGTTTTCGCCCGTAGACCAACTCAAACGGCGTCATCTTGGTCGACTCATGGTAAGTGGTGTTGTACCAATACTCAGCCCATGGTAAAAAGTTTTCCCACCGCTTTGGGAATTGATGGACGTAGCACCTCAAATACTGCTCAAGGGTTTGGTTGGTTACCTCCGTTTGTCCGTCTGTCTGCGGGTGATAGGCTGAGCTCATAGATAATTTAGTCCCTTGCAGCTTGAAAAATTCAGACCAAAAGCTGCTCATGAAAATCCGGTCCAGATCAGAGATGATAGATCGAGGTACTCCATGTAGTTTCATCACGTACTCCACGAATGACCGGGCAATTGACTTCGCGGTGTAAGGATGGGTAATGGGTATGAAGTGGGCATACTTGGTGAGACGATCCACCACAACCATTACACCATCAAACCCATTAGAATTTGGCAACCCTTCGATTAAATCCATCGTGATGTCTTCCCAGATTGCCTCGGGTACTGGTAGTGGTTGTAATAGCCCACTTGGTCGTCGTGAATCAGACTTAGTGCGTTGGCAGTCATCGCATCGAGCTATGTAATCTCGAACGATACTCTGTTGTCCGGGCCAGAAGAAAGTGTTGGCTATTCTCATCCATGTGCGATAGATACCCGAGTGGCCTCCAACCTTAGAGTCATGGAAGTGCTGCAAGATCTGCTCGCGTAACTTCCCACTGTTGGGGACATAGACTCGACCTCGGTGTAGAAGTAGACCATTATGCAGCTCGTAGTCGATAGCAGTTGTCTTACCTGCTTTTATCGAAGTGCGCAGCTCCTGGCAATGGGTATCCTCTACTTGCGCCTTCCTGATCTCTTCCCAAATGGCCCAAGTAGGCCCAGTGATCGCACTAAACTCGGCCACGTCTGTTCGTCGGGATAGTGCGTCAGCTACTGCGTTCTGTCGACCTGGTCGATAGATTATCTCGAAGTCAAACCCCATGAGTTTAGACACGAACTTCTGCAGCTCGGGGGTAACAATCCTTTGCTCCAATAAGTGCTTAAGCGGCTGTTGGTCGGTAACAATCTGAAACGTCGCCCCAATAGATAAGGCCTCCAGCATCTCACAGCCTCGACAACCGCTAGCATCTCTTTGACATACACCGATAGTCCTAATCGGGTAGTACCTAGTGCTTTGCTGAGATAGGCTAGGGGTCGCCCCTCTTGCACTAGTACGGCTCCAATTCCAATGTCACTCGCATCGGTGTGTACCTCGAACAAGACATCAAACCTGGGCATGGCGAGTACTGGCGTTGTAGTCATGGCTTCGTTCAGTTTCCCAAACGCCTCCTCGCTAACTTCGGTCCATGTGAACCCGCCTTTCTTAGTCATTGCTGTCAGTGGCTGGGCGATGGTTCCATAATCCTTTACGAACTTTCGGTAGTAGCCTGTGAGCCCCAGAAATCCTCTCAACTGCGTGAGACTTGTTGGCTTAGGCCAATCGACCATAGCCTCAATCTTTCGTGGATCGACCTTCACGCCCTCGTGTGATATGAAGTGCCCCAAATATTCAACCGTCATTTGCCCAAAAGAACATTTGGACGGCTTTCTGTGGAACGCGTTGGCCTCTAGAATTTCGAGAACTACTCTTAGATGCCCAAGATGTTCGCCCCACGATTTTGAGTAGATCAGGATATCATCAAAGAATACCAAAACGAACTTATGCAGATACTCCTTGAAGATAGAATTCATGGCGAACTGGAAAGTGGATGGGGCGTTGCATAATCCGAACGGCATGACAAGATACTCGTAGTGTCCCTGGTGTGTACGAAAGGCTGTCTTGGGGATGTCGGCTTTGTGGAGCCGAATCTGATGATAACCAGCTCGTAGATCGAGTTTAGAGAAATACCATGACCCAGCTAACTCATGAAGCATGTCATCAACACTTGGAATAGGAAACCGGTCCTTGATGGTTGCAGTGTTTAGGGCTTGGTAGTCCGTACAGAACCTCCACGTGCCGTCTTTCTTTTTAGCTAACAGTACAGGAGAAGAAAACAGACTTTTGCTGTGCTGGATTAGTCCTGACTTTAGCATCTCCGCAACCTGCCGTTCGATCTCGGTTTTCTGAAAGTGAGCATACCTATAAGGGTGGACATGTATGGCATGTTGTTCATTGACCAATGGTATGCGATGATCGAACTCCCGGTGCGGTGGTAGCCCTTTAGGCTCGTCCAGTACCCCTTCAAACTCCTCGAGAAGCTCGCGTACGTCTCCTTGTTGTTGTTCGTCACGGTCCAGGTGCGCTCCCATGTTCTCGACTACTACTGGAAAAATTTGGCCTCCACCACGCCAAACTCTTTCGATGCTCTTCAACCCTACTTCTTTAGTTCCTTTCTCAGTGCCGGTGCTGAGGGTGACCTGACGACCTTCGGAGTTGAACTTCATTATTCCTGTTCGATAGTCGGTCGTCACCTTGCCTAGTCCTTTGAGCCATTGAACTCCCAGTACTACATCTGGTCCAACCAGGGGTAAAGCATACAGATCAGCTTTTACCGTGACTCCTTGGAACTTGATTGGCACCTTTCGAAAAGATTCAGTCTATTGCAACCTCTCTCCGTTGGCTACCCGTACCTCAAAGGGCTCGATCTTTGTGGTTGGTAATTTCAACTTTTGAGATAAGTCAGCATTGATGAAATTATGCGACGAACCATTGTCTACGAGCACTATTATTCTCCGATCTTTGACCCATGCTTGTAATCGCATTGTCCTTGGTCCTCTGATTCCTGCCATTGCATGCATCGAAATTTCAGGCTCCTCACTGAAGGCCTCAATCTCGTCCTCCTGAGGCGGTTCCTCCTCGACCTCAAC